TCCAAATGTTTAAAGAAAAATTAGCACACATTCTACACAATCTCCTCCGGAAAATAGAAGAGATGGCAATAATCACTACTTCACTTTATGAAGCTGGTATTACACCAATAGCAAAACCTGATGAAAATAGTACAAAGAAAGAAATTACACACCAATATCACCCATAGATATAGACACAAAACTACTTCAAAATATTAGCAAATAGAATTACTGACATAAAAAGAGATGATACATAATAATCAAGTGAGATTTATTCCAGAGATTCAAAAGGGTGCAATAGAGGAAAGACAGTCTTCCTAAGCAAATAGAAGGGTGCTAGAGCATTTGACCATTCACAGGCAAACAAAATAAAGAAAAATAAAGAAAACACCTTAACCTAAGACTTAAATGTTATCAAATAATTAACTCATTTTGTATCACTTTTAGGAAGTAAAAAACTAAGAAAAAAATCTTTAGGGTTCAGAAGAAATTTCTTAGACTTGGCACCAAAATCATCTTACATAAAAGGAAAAATTCATAAATTGAAATTCATCAACTTTAAAAATGCTAACTCTGAATAATCTTATGAAGAAGATGAAAAGACAACTATAGACTGGGAAAGATATTTGCAACCCATATATCTGAAAAAATGGAACTCTCAAATTTAAAGACTCTCAAATCTAAATAGATTTAAAAAAGAAAAGAAAGTAAGAAAATGGGCAAAAGCAATGATGTGATATATCAACAATTGCAAATAAGCACAGGAAAAAGATGTTCAAAATCATTAGCCATTAGGTAAATGCAAATCAAAAGCACAAAATGAAATATCCTTACACATCTATCAGAATACTGAAAATCAAACTAGTGACATTAAATGCTGATGAGGGTGAGTAGTAACTGAATTGCTAGTGAGAATTCAAAATTGTACAGCCACTCTAAACACAGTCTGACACCTTAAAACCTCAGTAGGCACCTACCATTCAATCCAGCAATTGCACTGCTGGGCATTTATCACAGAAAAATAAAAACTCATGTTAACACAAAAACCTATCAAATGAATACACATAGTGGATTTATTAGCAAAAGCCTAAAACTGTAAACAACCTGAATGACTTTTAATGAGTGAATAATGAACAAAATGTAGGACATGGAATATTACTCAGAAATTAAAAGGGATGAACTATCAACACAAGTGACAAGTGAATAAATCTACACAGAATTATGCTGAGCGAAAAAATAAAAGGCCAATCCCAAATGTTACATACTGTATGATTCTATTTATATAAAATCTTTTTTAATATGTTGACATTTATTCATTTTTGAGAGAGAGATAGACTGCGAGTGAGAGAGGGGCAGAGAGAGAGGGAGACACAGAATCCGAAGCAGGCTCCAGGCTCTGAGCTGTCAGCACAGAGACCGATGCGGGGGACTCAGACCCACAAGTGATGAGATCATGACCTGAGCTGAAGTCAGACGCTTAGCCGACTGAGCCACCCAGGTGCCCCTATATAACATTTATTAAAATGACACATTACAGAAATGAAGAATGGGTGAGTGGTGACCATGGGCTAAGTAGGAAGTGGAGGCAGGAGGGAAGTCAGAACAGCTTAAAAGATCAACATGAGAAAGAATTATAATCATGGGAATATTCTGATTCTTGATTGCATCAATGTCAATACAACTTAGTTGTATTTAGAGCTGTGTTCGGCACCTGTATGCTAAATAAACAAACAAAAAAGTAAATACTTGTTAGTACCTGTAGTAAATGACTTACCATGTGAGACTCTGTAAGGTGCCATGTGATGTATAGCTAGGAATTTGTGTGTTTACTCTCTGTTTTCTTAGGTTCTGACACCCAAGTTCAATTATTAGTGTTCTATGATCTATGGTCATGGTTATTCTCTTATAGCTGCATTTTCCTAGCGAGGTTTTCTGTGTTTTATGTTTTGTTTTTGTTTTTTGCCTCTGACAGCACTCCCTCCACCCCTTCTTCAAGATATATTTTCCCCCATAGATGGTCTCTAACCCTGCTCTGACCTCTGCTGAGGTCTTTTCTCCAACCGACTCACTCATTCCTCTTGCCCATGGAAGAATTTTCCACCATGGCACTGGCATTTCACAAGTTACCTGTTGTCATTCTTAACTTCTTTCCAGAACGAGTGTGTAGTTTCATCTTTGTTTTGGATCTCTCACTATGTATCCATGAAACTGGTGAAGAGAACACTCTTTGCATGTTTTACAAAGATTTTCCTTGGCTTCCATGAACCAGTATTCCCTGAGCTTGTTTGCATAAGACAGTGAAAGCAAACCTGAGGTATTTCCAGCAAAGGAAACAAGAAAGTTGAATTTCCTTTGCTATTTTTTTTTCTGTGCTGCCTCTTGAAAACAAGTGGATATTGAGGTTCATTTGTGTCTATTTATCTTTTCTTTTTTTTTTTTTCATTTGTTTAATGTTTTATTTATTTCTGAGAGAGAGACAGCATGAGCAGGTGAGACACAGAATCTGAAACAGGCTCCAGGCTCTGAGCTGGCTGTCAGCACAGAGCCCAATGTGGGGCTTGAACCCAGGAACTGTGAGATCATGATCTGAGCTGAAGTCAGACGCTTAACAGACTGAGCCACCCAGGTTCCCCTATTTATCTTTTCTTTAAGTTATTTATTTTGAGTGACACAAAGAAAGAATGTGAGTAGAGGAGGAGTAGAGAGAGAAAGGAAGAGTTCCCCAAACAGGCTTTACACTATCAATGTGGAGCTGATATGAGGCTTGAGCTCACAAACCATGAGACCATGACTTTAGCTCAAATGAAGTGTCATTGTGCTTAACTGACTGAGCCATCCAGGCGGCCCCATTGTGTCTCTTTAGAATGACAAGATTTAAACAAGACTATTGCTATTTCTTTCAGAGAAAGAATGATAAAGAAACGATGTTTGAATTCCTGTGCTCTCTTGTTCTGCTTGTATTTTTTTTCTTTCTTTACACTCCAAATCAAATAACAGCTTTGGGGGACACCTGAGTGGCTCAGTAGGTGAAGTGTCCTACTTTGGCTTAGGTCATGATCTCAGTGAGTGGGTTCAAGCCTCGTGTTAGGCTCTGAGCTGACAGAACCTGGAGCCTGCTTCTGATTATGTGTCTCCCTCTCTCTCTGCCCCTTCCCTGCTTGCGCTCTGTCTCTCTCTCTCAAAAATAAATAAACATTTAGGGGTTCCTGGGGGGGCTCAGTCGGTTAAGCATCCAACTTCAGCTCGGGTCATGATCTCACAGTTCGTGGGTTGGAGCCCCGCGTCAGGCTCTGTATTGACAGCTAGCTCAGAGCCTGGAGCCTGTTTCGGATTCTGTGTCTTCCTCTCTCTCTGACCTTCCCCTGCTCACACTGTCTCTCTCTCTCAGAAATAAATAAAACATTTTAAAAAATTAAAAATAAGTAAGTGAACACTTAAAAATATCAAATAACAGTTTCGAAGGCAGTCTATCAAAAGACAAAATGAAATTGTGGTGGAATATGCTGTTTTTTATATTAGCAAAATGGTGAAATGTTGCTGGATTCTAAAATAGAATCAGCCAATAGGGAGCAAGTTTGGAGCCAAGAGGAGGCTGAGAAACTGCCCTGTGAGGCAGGAGAGGAGCATAGGACTGAAGAAACGACAAACACGGGGTGGTAACATTAGACATTGTTAAGAGCAAGGTAGGAGAAAGTAGAGTAGCAGTAGTTGTGAGTGGAGATATTAAATATTAGATTATTATTTATATCTAAGAGACACAATAGGATATCCATTGTTAAAATGATACAATTGGACTCCTGGGAATTAGAATAATAGCCATTGTTCAAATAATGCAAATTGAGAATGGATAGTATAGTTCTGAGAAATTTTCACAAATGGAAAATGCAAAGTTAAAAAAGTTGAAAACAGTGCATTAAAAATGTATATCATTGTGGTGCCTGTGTGGCTCAGTTGGTTAAGTATCCGACTTTGGCTCAGGTCATGATCCTGTGGTCTGTGGGTTCAAGCCCCATGTCTGGCTCTGTGCTGACAGCTCAGAGCCTGGAGCCTGTTTCATATTCTGTGTCTCTCTCTCTCTCTCTGCCGGTCCCCTGCTTGCACTCTGTCTCTTTTTCACTTTCAAATATAAATAAACATTTAAAAAATGTCTTAATGTAAATGTACATAAATTAATTAATAAAATAAATAACATAATAAATCATTTGATTAACAGGTACCATAATTGATTACATTTGTCTGCTCTTAATTCCTTAGTATTAAAGGAGAAGTTACAATGGCATCATTTTAAATTCCACAACATCACATAGCAGTAACCTTGTGATACGTGCCGCAAGATGTAATCAAGATTTGGGGTGCCTGAGTGGATCAGTCGGTGAAGTGTCCAACTTTGTCTCAGGCCACGATTTCATGGTTTGTGGGTTCAAGCCCCGCATCATGCTCTGTGCTGACATTTCAGAGCCTGGAGCCTGTTTCAGATTCTGTGTCTCCTTCTGTCTCTGTCCCTTCCCCCTCATGATCTGTCTGTCTGTCTCTCTCAAAAATAAATAAACATTAAAAAAAATTTAAGATGTAATAAAGATCTTCCTGGAAGAGAAAGGAAGTATAGTGTGAAAAACAAGTATTTAAAGCTCTTATGTATGTTTCATGTGGTGGATCATACTAAAAAATGTTAACTGTTAAAATATCTTCTCTCTTAGGACAGATACCATATGTTTGCACATATAGGAGGATTAGCATAAACTTAACGGAGGACTGTGGGGGAGAAGAAGGGGAAAAATAGTGGGGGAGAGGGAAGGAGGCAAACCATGAGAGACTCTTGAATGCCGAGAACAAACTGAGGGCAGATGGGGGTGAGGGGGAGGGGAAGCAGGGTGATGGCCATGGAGGAGGGAACATGTGGGGATGAGCATTGGGTGTTANGGAGGAGGGCACTTGTGGGGATGAGCACTGGGTGTTATATGGAAACCAACTTGACAGTAAGCTATTTAAAAAATATATCTTCTCTCTTTTCTCCTTTGCAGATATTTATCTATGCCGATAACATGGAGATCACATCTCACCTTGTGTTTCATCTTAGCCTGTATGCACAACGTTGCTCTTTAAGGAACAGCCCTGGATCATAAACTACAGGGTATACATTACAGGGCCTCCATTCACTACCAGATACAGCTTGGAAAGTTATTTAACTTCTTTAGATGGATCTTCTCAGTTCAGCTTTTTTTCTTGTTGTGGGGATGGGACTGATGGTGTCCGTCCTTGTTACATGTCAGAGAGGAAACCTAGAATCTTCCATTTGTTTTTAACCTCTTCGAGCTCTGTGCTGCTGTTTATAGCCTTGGCGCTCACACCCCAGGTATCATTCATACCACCAGACTCATGTCAGGGGCCAGGCTTTATGGCTACCGGCAGGAGTGGTACCAAAGATCTGTGGGATCCAAGAGAACTAATACCCAAGAGCCTACCCTGTAGTTGCTCCAGGAAGCCAAGGGAATTGATCTCTGTGTAAGTGTGTCCTACACACTCGATTTAGGTAGTAAGTACACTAAGCCAGAAATAGTTCATCTGTGGTACAGAGGCAGCCCCAAAATCTTTCTTAACCCGGAAAGTATCTGACGAATTGCTATTAAATAATTTTCTTTGGGTAGATTGAGCAGGTTTTCCATCTCTATAGAAGATAATTTAAAGAAGCAGAGTATGTTAAAGTAAGGGTTCATCTCCAAAATGTTGCATGCTAGGGCCAGTGACAAATCGAATGCAATGAGAGCACAATACAAAGCACTTGTTTTATTTAAGATAGCACTGGTCTCTGGAACAGATAAACTTCTGAATTGTCATAGCTTAGTACAATAGAATTTTATTTTTTTATTCACAAGATTCAAATTGTGCATATTTTAGAGATCCAGGTTTTTTCCCTCATGAACATTTTTCATCTTCAAAGTTGCCATGCTCATTAACAAGGGAGAAGAGAAGGGGCGCCTGGGTGATTCAGTCATTTAAGCATCCAACTTCGGCTCTGGTCATGATCTCACGGTTTGTGAGTTCAAGCCTCACATTGAGCTCTGTGCTGACAGCTCAGAGCCTGGAACCTGCTTCAGATTCTGTGTTTTCCTCTCTTTGGGTCTTTCCTCCACTCATTCTCTCTCTCTCTCTCTTAAAAATAAATAATAAAACATTAAAATAATTTTTAAGGGGAAAAGGTAAAAGAGCTTAGAAGGTCACCTGTGGGAAGGTTTTGGAGACAGAATGAGTGGATGTGAAAACTAGCTCTATTTCTCATAATAATGAAATGTATGGATCTCATTTAGCGATTTAAAGTTTTTGAATCTTTTTGTCTCTAAAATTGGTGCACGAATACCTAACTCAAAGCTTACAACTGAAATTAAAGAATGTGCTTAAACTCTCTAAGGGGATTTGACACTCAATAAGTATTGAATGAACACTAGCATTCGTTTCCTTTTTTTAAAAAAAATATAGTTTTTTTCTAGATTGTATAGTCTCTGCATATAGATACATGTGTATACAAACGTACACACATACATATGTATAGATAACTTTCTGTATGTATTATGATTCAGAGCTTTTGTATGGTTACTTAATAGCTTTCCAGAGCACTTTCAGAACACTTCAACTGCAAAAGAGCAAAGAAGATAATAAGTGATGACATCAGAGCAAGTATATAAGGTCGACATGCAATTGTCATTTTTAAATAAAAACTATATTTTTATACTTTTATTTATTCAAACTAGCATATCGCATTATAGTCTGGGAGAGTTATAAGGGATAGAAAAGACCTGCGCTGATTTCTGAAGGATGGACAAGATCCAGATACCCAGCAGGCAGGAAGGAACAGTCTTCATGGAAGCAGAAAATAAGTGCTGTTCACCACAAAAACATTTGGAATTGAATATTCCAACTGTAACTTGCCTGATATTACTCAGGACAGGCAAAAATTCTATCTTTACTGCTCATCTAACATATTCAAATTCCATAAAATAAAATGACTTGATACTTATCAATAGCTGCTTTAATTACTTCTGTTCATTCTGCTTCACTTGTGAGCAGCTCTCTGGATACTTGATAGGAGAGTATAAAGTCACAGAACTCTTGTTCTTCATGAATAACCTTCTTATTCCCTGGACAGTCATTTTATAAAGGAAGACTTATGACAGTATGGTAATTAATCCCAATCAAGTTGTCCACTACAATTTTCAGGGTGTAAGGGGGTGCTCAAGCATCAGTGAAGGGCCATTTCACTGGGCCTCTTATGTCTCCAATCAAATTATGCATAAGGAACTACTTGGTGCATAACTTAAATCCCATGATGTAAATGATGACAAGTCTTAGATCTAGGTCTGATGTTCATAGCTAATGAGGAAATCTGTCAGGCAAGAGAGAATTTCCATGCTGAGAATGTGCTGTGATAGAGCAGGTAAAAAGTAGACTTTGGAGTAAGAACTTTCAGTGTGAAAACAGCTCTCTCATCTATTAATTTGGACACTAAACCCCTATATGCCTTGGTTTCCTTATATGTAAAGTAGAGATATGTACTTAATACAAAGTTAGATAAGTTCATAGTGAGCCTTAAGATATCGCTGATAAATATTCTCCATGCCTGATACAACAGGTTGGTATACGAATTTGGTCTCTTAAACAGAAATTAAGTGGCTACTATGTAGCACTATATCTAAACTTGGAAAAACACATAAGAATAAATCATGATCTCTGCACTCAGAATCTTACCGTCGAGACATAGTTTCAATAATAGATCATTTCAGTATAATCAGGGAAGGGCCATTGTAATAAATAACACTTAGCTGCACAACTAGTAGGTGGTAGTAGTAGGTAGACCTGGGGAATACCTTCTATTCTCTTTAACTTTAATATTAACCAATATTAACCACTGCACTGCTCTACAGTAATAGAGATCCCAATAGCATGTTGGGGCATTAGGAAATGTAAAACCCAACTAATCTTGTTATTAGGAAGATTAAAGAATATATAAACAGAAAAAAAAATGAATCTTTCAAAGACGGAAAAGTTACAGGCATAGGAAAGAGAACTGTTTAAAGCAAGGAAGTAGGTAATAGGAAGATATGTTTTAGATATCACTATGGGGTTTCTTTTTCTTTTTTTAAATTTTTTAATGTTTATTCATTTTTTGAGAGACAGAGACAGATAGAGCACGAGCAGGGGAGGGACAGAGAGAGAGGGAGACATAGAATACGAAGCAGGCTCCAGGCTCTGAGCTAGCTGTCAACACTGAGCCCAATGTGGGGCTCGAACCCACAAACTGCGAGATCATGACCTGAGCTGAAGTCAGTTGCTTAACTGACTGAGCCACCCAGGCATCCCCACTATGGGGTTTCTGATGCTAGAATGTATTAGTTTCCTGTTGCTGCTGTAACAAATTTGTGTCTCAAAACAGTACCAATTTATAGTCTTACAGTTCTGTAGGTCAAAGTCTGGATGTAGCATGGTTCAACAGGGCCTGTTGCTTAGATTTCAGGTTTGAATTCTGAAATCAAGTTGTCAGCTACATTTCTTCATGGAGATTGTGGATATAAACCTGTATGGAGCTCAGCCAAGTTGTTAATCAAATTGAATTTCAGCCTATCATAAGACTAAGATCCCTGTTTCTTTGCTGATTGTCAGCCAGAGGACCAGTCTTTGCTTCTAGAAGATGCCCACATTCTTTCTCATGCCTTCCACTTGCCCTCCTTTTCCCTTCCCACCTCACCCTCTAGCAATAATGAGTCAAGTCTCTCTCACACTTTGAATGTTCAATTTTTCCTTTTTTCATATCTGTCTGCCTCCAGCCAAAGAAAGTTCTGTGTTTTTAAGGGCTCGTGTGATTAGATTTGGCCTATCTGGATAAACCACGATGTTCTCCATATTTTAAGGTCCTTAAGCTAAGATTTCCAAAGTCTCATTTGTCTGGTAACATCACATATTTACAGGTCCTAGAACTATCAGGCACAGACAGCTTTGAAGGCCTATTTTATCTGTTGTATGGACAATGTGGTGGAAAGAACTGTAGTGGATGCTTGTGGGAGAGACACAGAGAGGAACTAAAATAAAAAGTTGAGAGACCACGGAGGAGTTTTTACTGAGAGTATAATGGAGTCAGGCTTTCTTCTTAGAGAATAAAGCATAGTACTTGCAGGTGAAAACGAGAGAAGACATACTGAGGGCAGAGAGTTCAGTTAGAAGAGTATTGTAGAAGTTTAAGAAAAAGAAAATCCCTTAGGAATCCTGAAGTAGCTTTTCTGGCTGCTTCTGGTTCAGGGCCTTTCATGAAGTTGTTGTCAAGATGTTGAACAGGGCTGCAGCAGCAAAAGGCTTATCTGGCTCTGGAAGGTCAACTTGGAAGATGACTTCTGTATACAGCCATCCCTCAACAAACAGGCCTGTCCTTCTGGTGGAATACAACTTGGCAGTTGGCTGCCATCTTGCTGTTTGACTACCACCCACTTCATGAAACTGCTGAGAGTTTTAAGTTGCTTAAAACTGTATCTGGAACATGGAAAATACTCTGATAATATCATCTATTATCTCTTTTTTTCCCCTCTATTATAGTACTGAATGAGCAAATTACTAAAGAAGCCCAACAGAAGGAATTCAGGTGGCTGAGATAAATGAAGAAACCATAAGTAATTGACATTTAAGTTAGTGCTTGTATTTAATACATGAAAAAGGAAAATCCCATCTAATGGGTACAAGAGAGACAAAAAAACCCCACTCATTTTTCAAAAGAATGAAGGTATGTAGAATAGATTTTTTTTTTTTTTTGTAATTCTAGAAGTTCACAGGATGTCCTGTGGGAGTAGAAGAAAAGATTGAAAAGAAAAATCCATAAGTTGAGATTAGATTTTGAAGGGTCACATCAAGTCATCCTCAAAAAAAGTCTCTATGGCCTAATTTGTTGAATAAGTAAATATAAGTGAATTTCAGGCCATGCACTTGTATGTAGGAAGAGGCTGGGGGCTATATGGAACATACTCGGCAAAGTCTAGGTTTAGATGTCAGACTATGTAATAAGGATTTATCAAGGATTTATTGGAAATAATTATTCAACAAGGCATTTATTTTATCAATGAAAAATTTTAAAACACACTGAAGAATTACTTTTGATTTGCTCTGGAATTAATATATCTGGGTATTTAT